TGGGATCTGGACTCAACAAGGTCACCAAGACCTTTTGATGTTCTGCCTTATTATCATCTTATTTTCATGAGAGCAACCAGTGAATGTCTTCCCACCTAAGAATTAAAGGGCATAAATTAAAATAGGACAATAGATCATCCCATTCGCGATTCTGGCATTGGCAAATTCTGGAAAAATGGATTCCTGGGTCATTGGGGCAGTCCAGAAATATTTTTGTTTCAATATCTCTTATAAAAAATGATCAGTGGTTGGTTAATCTATATTGCACTGTCTTGCACCTGTAGAAGAGGGAGGAGGAGGAGGAAGAAATGCAACAACATCTCTGATGGCTGAGGGGCCTGTGGTACCTGAGACCCAGGTATCTCCCAACACTCTGCAGGTAGTTATGAATCTGACTGGATTAACTTGCTGGTGGATTCAGGATTTGGTAGAGAATCAGAGTGTGTTTTTAAATAAGTTCTGTCATTTTCCTTTTTCTTCAGTCTCATGTTGGGGGGAAAACACTCTAGTGAGTTCTGAATTCAAGATTTCCATATTTTTAATGCACTGTGGTAGGACATTTTTACTGCTTCAAATATAATAATAGCACAGGTACCGTTAAGCTCTGGCACCTTTCCCTAACTAAACCCCCCTATAAAAATGATGGCCATATAAATCAGCGTTTCTCAGAACGTGGTCCTCCAACTCTAAGACTCTGCAAGAAATAAAGATGACACAGAGAAATAAACACATTTTAGGAGCATCTCCTCTGAGAGACTGACGAGTACGCGGGGCTGGCAAAGTCCCTAGAAAGCCCGGCAGAGAAGAAGCCCAGCTGTGCTGTACCGGCAAGCCAGTGGGTCCCAAACTAATGTACAACAGCCCATGCAGAGCACCTAGGAACATCCTGCGAACTGCCATTGTAGACCAACTGGGGAGACAGGCTGTTAGCCACATGGGAGTGTGTTGTCTTCTCGAACGTGGAACTCAACGAAATGAGAAGAGAGCAAGAAAAATGAAGCAACATCCCTCAGAGTCGACTGGATAATGCAGTGGGTTTTGAAACAAGCGCTGCCTTGGGCTTGTTTATGGTTCTTTATTTATCATTTTCCCCCTTCCCAGAACTAGTCCCTGAAGGAAACTTTAGGCTTTCAGAGAACAAGGACTGTAAAACAAATAAATTAAAAAAAAAAAAATCTTGGGCGTATGAATAAGCACAGATAAAACCTTCAAAACCCAACAGCAACAACCTAAAAATTAATAGAAATCAGAAGTGTAAGCTCCAGCCTTCACTACTGTGCTGTTTAGAAAGGCTGGGTGCACAGTCAGACGGGAAGGGAACACAAACGTGGCTGCTGACTGTCGCAGGAAGGCTGTACCACCCGGCTTACTGCCCAAGAATAAAGGCATCGAGGGGTGCCTGGGTGGCTCAGTGGGTTAAGCCTCTGCCTTCGGCTCAGGTTATGATCCCAGGGTCCTGGGACTGAGCCCCACATCGGGTTTTCTGCTCAGCAGGGAGCCTGCTTCCTCTTCTCTCTCTGCCGCTTCTCTGCCTACTTGTGATCTCCGTCTGTCAAATAAATAAATAAAATCTTTAAAAATATATATAAAGTTCTATTAAAAAAAACTTATTAAAAAATAAGAAAGGCATCGAAAGTGGGGAATGAGCCATGTCACAAAGTCATTGTATATACTCTTTGTCTCTCCCCACTGTCCTTCTCTCCCCTTCTTCTATCTCAGCTCTGGAAAATAGTCATGACTGAGGCTAAGTGAATTCTGACTCCCCACACAATCCAAGAATAAACTGTCCAAACACAGTTTCTAAGTGCCCAACATCAATGTAGCAGTGTGGATCATTCGGACATTTTCAGACTGTGCCCCCCCACTGGCTACTCCAGCCTCACGGTGTTCCCCCTCAGCCCTCTTCTAACAGCCCGCTCTCTGACTTTCAGAGCCTGCGATAGCTTATTAAAAGTATTCATTGAATTGGGCTCCCAGGATTGAATCTGTGGCTTTAAAATTCAAAGTACACTTGTGAAATGCAAGTGTAAGTTCATTTCTAATAACCATAATAATGTTAACTAATCTGATTCAAATGCTACCATACTCCAGGAACTACAGTAAGAGCTTTAGATAGGTTTTTCTCATTTAATCTTCATGGCCACCCTGAGAGATAGAATTATCCCCATTGTAGAGATAAGAAACCCAAGGCACAGAGAGTTTCGGTCAACTTCCCAAGGTTGCACAGCTATCAAGGGATAGAGATAATCTTTCCGTGTAGACAGGCTGACTCCAGATCCTGTCCTCTGACTCCTGATACCTTGCTGACTCTCATTAGTAAAAGAAAAGCTTCACTTCTGCTTGGCTATCAGTGCAGGTAAAAACAAAAGTATAATGCAGAGATGTCCTAATTTTTCTTGCTCGCCTGGTGGTTGAGCCTGGGCTCGGGAGCATGATAGCCTCAGCTCAGAGCCCTGCTCTGCCTCTAACCAGCTGCGTGTCTGGGAGCAAGTGAATAACCTCAGCTCCTTCATCTGTAATGTAAGGATAATAACTAGAATTTATTGAGCACTTATCTATTAAATAATTTTAATATTAAAATACTTAATTCTACAAAGTAGGTAGTCATTATCTTTAATGATTAAATGTTTTAATGCAGGTAAAGAACTTTGAACAATGCCTGATAAGGTGTGTCCGTAAATGTCAGCTATCAGACATGATGCACATTCCCTCAAATTTTGCAACACATCACTATGACATCAATCATCATCCTAACAGCATCATAGGGATGCTGCTACAAGTCCGTGGCATGTGATTTTTAAAGGGGGGGGTTAGTCTAGTTCCAGCAGTACTTTCCTGCAATGTAAATGTATAAAATATTAACAATAACAAGAGACTAAGGAGACAGCTCTGTGATAGTGGTTTAAAAGCAGCAGCCCTGGGGCGCCTGGGTGGCTCAGTGGGTTAAGCCCCTGCCTTCGGCTCAGGTCATGATCTCAGAGTCCTGGGATCGAGTCCCGCATCGGGCTCTCCGCTCAGCGGGAAGCCTGCTTCCCTTCCTCTCTCTGCCTGCCTCTCTGCCTACTTGTGATCTCTCTCTGTCAAATAAATAAATAAAATCTTAAAAAAAAAAAAAAAAAAAAGCAGCAGCCCTCCGCACCTGGGTGGCTCCAGTCCCTTAAAGCCTCTGCCTTCAGCTCAGGTCGTGATCCCAGGGTCCTGGGATCAAGCCCTCCCACCCCATTGGGATGCCCGCTCCCTAGGGAACCTGCTTCTCTCTCTGCCTTTGCACCTCTCTCTGTCTCTCATGAATAAATAAATAAAGTCTTTTAAAAACATAAAAATAAAATCAGTAGCTCCGATCAGAAAATGAACTTTACTATTTATTAGCTATGTGACCTCAGGCAAGTGGCTACTTTACTCAGTTTCCTCACTTCTAAAATGAAGATAAAAATAATGTTTGCCTTCTAGGATTGTGATGCTTAAACAAGATAATACAGGTAAGGTACTTAGAGAAAGGCTGGGCAGATAATCCAAAAAATCAGCTCTATATAATAGTAATACAATTCTGCTACCTAACTCAGTATATCGTGTAATTTTGTTTCCCTCAGAGAAGCACTGCCCCAAGAGAAACAATGGAGCACCTGTGATGTAGGGAATATAGCATCTGATCTCAACAAAAACCGGCACTCCAGGTGAAGACCCAAGAACTCCATTTCCTAAAGTTTGCACAAGGACACCTAGGGTGTTGGCGTCCTCTTGGTGATCATCTCGCCATTGGCAACCTAACATGGAAAACTTCTTAGGGTGTTATTTTTAAGTCATTACCAACCATCAGGATACAGCATAGGGACATAAATGGCATTCTAAAGAAAACTGTGGCACCTGGGTTGCTCAGTCGGTTAAGCATCTGCCTTTGGGCCAGGGTTCTGGGATCGAGGCCCAAGCTGGGGTCCCTGCTCAGTGGAGAGCCTGCTTCTCACCGTTTGTGCTCTCTCTCTCTCTCTCTCTCTGTCAAATAAATTAATAAAATCTTTTTTAAAACTACTAAAAAATAAAGAAAACTGAATTTACTGATGTTAACTTGTCCTACTTGAACAGGAGAAAAACTGTTTACAGATTCACGACCTAATTGCCTTTTCATTTTCTGTGTTGGAAAAGGAACTGCACCTCAAAGCATATGGTCATTCTGGAGTTTTATTACTAAATCTTACGTATCCTGACTATAAAAATGGATGCGAGAGCCAGGAAATGTACAGCAAATACACATGAAACTGCCCACTTGTACTAGTCACAGTGGGAAGTCGAGCCTCATGTGCAGGAACCAACCATGCTCAGGAGAAATGTCTGAAATGATTGTCCTTCCCCAAAGTCTACTTCCTTTCCCAGCCTCCCCAGTCTCCCCAGCCTGGGTTCTGGGTCCCAGGAGGAGTGTCGATTCAGAGGGGAACTCTGACTTGCATTCCGTGGCCTTGAGAATTACCATAATTAATTGTAAACTGACTTGGGGCAACAAGGAGGCTCTAGGCTAGAATCTGAAGTCATGAGCACAAATAAATCCCCTTGGAGCAAAGTAGAGCCACATATAACAAGCTGTTAAAAAATCAGGATTATTGTTTAAACCTGCACTCTAACCCCAAGAGCAGTCCAGAATCATGGGGATTTTCTGGTCTCTTCTAAGAATGCCCCCTTTCCAAACACTCAATTTGGGGTTTGCATTTTCCAAAAGGGACCAGATGAGGTGTAAGCTGACCCATGTTTTTCTTACCCATTCACAGTCAAATGTCTGGCTCACTGGGGAGCTAGATCTCTTCTAACAAAAGGTTGAACTAGATTTTTTTTTTCCTTATGTATGTATCTATTTATTATGTTAATATGCCTTCCTCAACAAAATTTATGAGATAACTAGTAAAAAAACAAATTCTAAAAATCAGGCCCAAGAAAAATAAGACCCAAGCTAAAGATCACAGGTGAATATAATTGGGTCACAGGTTCAATTTTAAGCTTCCTGATGGTCAGACCAAATAAAGAAAAGGTCTCTAAAATGAAGGTAAAGGGACTGAAGATATGCAGTCAGATTTAAATGATTACTTCAGAATTACAGGTCAGACTATTTCAACGAATGTGTAACTACTGAAAACTCACAAATGCACGCTAGGAAAAGGTTTCCTTCACTCGTGTCTCTTTCAGAGGTATATCCTGCAGCCCTTCCCAGGAGAAAGGCCTCTAGACTCTAGAAGGAATGTCTCTACAAACTTCAGTTTTTAAACTATGGTCAAGGTTCCTATTTTAATCCAAGGAAATGGATTATGACCAAGTGATGGCCCTTCTATTCCACTAACGCATTCTCGTTTTTGCTAAAAGTGAAACAAAAACAAAGCAAAATGACAATCCTCCCAGTTTTGAAATGTGGACTCACCAGGAATTGAGAAAGAGATCAGGTCTCCTTCGCAGGTCCTATGTACTATGCATAGCAAAAGCTCAGTAAAAGGGCTGGGTCAAATTAGCCCCAATTCCTCAAGTATAATCATAAGCCACAGCCATTGTTCTCATGCGATTTATTAAGCATTTTAAGTGCAATTTTAGAAGTACTCATATATAAATAAACCAAAGCTAAGAAAGTTTATAAAAGACAAAAATCACAATAGCATGTATATGATAAGAAGAAGGGAAGTAATTTAACACGCAGTGGGAAACTACCCCGAATATACCATCCGGGTCTCTGGTACGCATGATAATTAAATCCCCCAGAATAATCCTATCCGGTAGATGCTACCACCATCATTGTTTTACAAATGAAGAAACCAAGGCTCAAAGAGATTCAAAAATTCACTCAAGATCACAGAGCCAACAGGAGTATTCTCGCCATAAATACACAGTTGTGAAGCTCGTGTTATTCCCAATATACATCAGAAGAACTCTCTCATAGGAGGGCACGTGATAGGAGGCCCATTTGCTAAGTGTGGAAACCGAAAAATAAAAAGTCAAGCTGTCTTTCTAGTGTATGTGAGAGCCAGAACTAGAACTTGGAACTTTCCTACTAGATCACAGTCAGTACGATCTTAAAGACAAGAAATCTGGAAGAGCAGTTTCATTGATAGAAAGTCCATGACATTCTGAAGACAGAGCTTAAGTTAATAAATAAAAATAATGTATTTTTCTCTTTCTTTCTTTTTTTCACCCAGTTTGGCTCATTGGTAAGTAGGCTTTGTAAGTTCATTTGTGAATTCAACTATTGTACTAGAAGTACAAAGGGATATAATTGAGATAAACTAAAAACATAATAAATGGACTAAAAATATACCATTTTCACAGGGGAAACCACAATTTTCTAGGCTGTGTTCCCTGGAGCTAGAGAATATACTTCTAATGAGCTTTGAGTAATCACATAAATTGAAAACCTAACCTTGTAATGCCTGATAGTGATCTAAACTACTTAGCTATGTTTTGTATTATACCACAAAACAGTGGTTTGTTCACGAAATGTAACAAAATATCTTGTGTTACTCATACTTTGGCCTTAGGCTTACATGTGTTGAAACCATAATCCCCAACGTATTTCAGAGTATGTTTGGACAACCAAAGTTGCTCTATGAAAATGACCCAAAAGGAAAACCCTATTCCATTAAAAACATAAATTGCTAAGAGTTAAATGTTTAAGTATTGCCTAGAGTGTATAAAGAAGATTTAAAATCTAGTGCTCATTTTTCCCACTTAAAATAAAACAAAACAAAAAAATATAAAAAGGGACATTCAGGAACCATACAGGAAAGTTGTAAATCAGCTATATCCTGATCTACTTCATATCTGTTGCATTATGTCATGCAGAAGAAACCAGATACTACAGCCCAACAAAGAAAAGGGCCGTTTGATACCCAGAGTTTCAGACGCAGAAAGAGGCTACCCTGGTGGGTAAACATAGACTTGTCAAGAGTACTGTCAAGGCGATGTCAGGGGTTCCCACTAGACATCACAGTTTGGAGAAGCTCAAGCCCAAATACCTGAAGCCAATCTTGGGAATGCTTAGGGACACCATTTCGTCTGAAAATTCTCCAAAAACTATGATAGTTAAGACTGTTAGCGGTGGAATCAGATGGAAACTACATTGGAATACCAATTCTGTCATTCACTAGGTCCACGATTCTAGGAAAATCCCTTCACCTTCTTCCTTCACAGGGTTGGGAGGATTAAATGAGATGGTATCTGTAAAATACTTAGCAAATCTCCCGGCACCTGGTGGGTACTAACAAGTTTAACTACAGTTATTATCATTATTTATTATTGTTACTTTATGAATAATCATTGGGCCCTGAGTACCTAATACAGTGCCCCTAAATATTAAGGGATAAATAAATGTCTGCTACCTAAATTGAGCTTTGGGGTTAGTGGTTGGATATATTACGTTGACCCATTTAATTATAAAGGAAAACTTCTAAGTACCAGTGTTCAAACTCCGGGAAATATTGGTCATCAAATAAGACTGGAAAAAATAAGTTAAACAAAATCAGTATTTTCTTTCCTGCAGAACTTCTCAGAGCCTTTAATGAGACCAGGTGAATTATGACTCTCCCAAAGAGACAGAAGATGCAGCCTGCAATGCTTTTTAAATTCACTGTTCCGTTTCCTCGTCTATAAAACATACGATTTTACCACATGATCTCTAAATTCCTTCCCTCCTCACTAAGAGGTTAGAATTCTAGCCATTTTTCAGAACTAGTTATGCATATGAATAGAGATTGAAATGAATGTTGATCCCCCGAGATCAGAACAAATTAGATCTTTTTCCATTTTCCCACTGCAAAGCCCACCTGAAAAGAACTGAATCTTTGATGCTTTATCACATATATAACTTAATCCCGGCTTTAACTTGCACAGATCAAGTTCATCAAGATTTAAGTCATTTCTGATTTAATATGACTTTTTGAGAACATGCATTAGATGCGAAAGATCACGGGCTCCATAATGAGGACTCAATCACGTAGGGGCACAATTTTTTAAACTTACTTTTAAATAGGTTTCTCATCAAAATAAAATGTTACCCAAATCCACATACTCGACAACATTTAATATTTAAAAAGCAGGTAATAGGGGCGCCTCGGTGGTCAGTGGGTTAAAGCCTCTGCCTTCGGCTCAGGTCATGATCTCAGGGTCCTGGAATCGAGCCCCGCATCGGGCTCTCTGCTTGGCGGGGACCCTACTTCCCCTCCTCTCTCTCTGCCTGCCTCTCTTCCTACTTGTGATCTCTGTCTGTCAAATAAATAAATAAAATCTTAAAAAAATATATAAAAAGCAGGTAATGAAATTGTTACCTAACTCGATTAAGTGAAAGAGGCATGTGAGACATTGCATTTTTGCTTCTCTCCCCGTCTACACAGACTTCTTAGACACTCACACTGATTCCCACTAGCCGGGTGAGCCACATCCCCTCTCTTTCCTGCTACTTAGGCCATATCCTTACAGGCAGTCACCTCAAATTCAACATGCCCCAAGTTGAACGGCTCACTCCAGTTCCACTGAATCTTTTTCTGCCCAGCCTGGTATCATCCACCAGCCCAGCTGCCTTCATTTCTCCATCTTCCTCACCCAGGTCCAACTGTTAAGCAAAGTTTGGTGAAATCTTTTCCCAGGAGCTCCACTCTCATTTTTTTTTTCTTTTATATTCCAACGGTTTCTTAAATAGCCCCCTGTTGATAATACTCTAATGTTTCCCTGCCCTCTATCCATCCTCTACCTTCCTGAGATAGTTCCACAATGAAAAGCAGTCTTTCTGCCTCCGTGTTACAAACTTTCCATGTGTCCCCATCACCGGCTGTACGATCCAATCTGCTCAGCGTGCTGCAGCCCTTTCTTTCTTAAGACCTATTTATGCTGCAAGTGTAAAAGCCCCCCTTTGTAGACCGAGCATCTTGAAAGTCTAGGTGTTTCTTCTTTCTTTCCTAGTGCTCAACACCCGCCTGCAGAGTGCCCGATACAGAGTGAGTGCCTGTTCATGTTTGTTAAATGACTAAAGGAATAATGCATGGTGGTGGGCCTGGGTGGCTCAGTGGGTTAAGTCTCTGCCTTCAGCTCAGGTCATGATCTCGGGGTCCTGGGAGTGAGCCCCGCATCGGGCTCTCTGCTCAGCGGGGAGCCTGCTTCCCCCTCTCTCTCTCTGCCTGCCTTTCTGCCTACTTGTGATCTCTCTCTCTAATAAATAAATAAAATCTTAAAAAAAAAAAACAGAACTCAAATACAATTTTAGGCCCTGATATTGGAATATTAACGTTTAGAAAGAGCTAAGTTAAACATAAGGGAAAGCATTCATATGGGCCAAAATCTACCACTCTCCCCCTAATATGACATGCTAAGCAGAAAATTTGAGTAAGTTATTCTTCCCGTGATTCTATTTACTCTGAGCACAAAGACACACTTTGATGTACTGTGCCATTGTACTCAATGCCATTACAACATGATTAAAGCCACATTCAGCACAGGGAGGAAATGGGTGAGTACGAAGTTGACCAGGATGGAACATAAAATGAGTTTTTGTTTGTTTGCTCAGATTAGACTTAAAATTACCCTTTAAAAACTCCAGTCTCTGTTTTCAGGACCATCATCTTACACCAGCAAAGCATCACCTCTGAAAAGAAAATCTGCCCCCCCGTGTTAGCAAAAGCTTGAAATTCTCCTGCCAGGTGGGCAGCCGCATGTGTTGCTCTGCCCAGCAGAGGGCGCGCGGCCCCCAACACCTCGCCAGCCCGGTAGAATCGGGGTGAAGCTGTTCATAAACCCAAGCCTCCAAATCCGGGCCAGTGCGCTGACCTCCTGTCCTTGCCTGCTCCCTGGCGCTCTGTTCTCTTCTTCCCACTCACAATGAGGTGTCAGTGAACTTGCAGCTCTCAGGCACACCGGGTTTGGATCAAACGGGAGAGGGCAAAGGGGAGGCTGTTCACTTAGGAGTGTGATGACTTCTTGGAAAAGAAAACTTTAACTCATTCTTCCTTAGCCGGACAGCTACAGAAAAGCATCCTCGGCTGGTTGTAGCACACACTCTGATT